GGTTGTTTTTTACAATTATTTTTGGGCTCCAGATGAGGGGGAAAAAAAAAAGTGTTGCCACTGAGATTGAGCAAGATAGATACTTCTCAAATGAAATCCTTTGGCTTACATATAGCACCACTCAGTCAACCATGGGTTTGCTTAGAAAAATTCCCTTCCTTTTATATGAACTGGATTAATTTATCAGCATACAGCAAAGAGAAGCGTTAAGCAAGGAAAACTTAAAGGGCAACCTCTAAGGACCTCAAGATCCTGAGCTAACAGAAGTTTATTGGGTTGCTATACTTGTTAAAGAATTCAAGAAATACCAAATGGACTACCCAAATGGAAGATGAACAGATAAAAAAAGGCTTTTTTTTTTCCCTTTTCTTTTTTGGGGAGGAAAAGGGGGGAGGGATGATGATTTAAAGTATACAGGACCTGGAAGCATTCACTGCACTATCCTCACTCCTTCCTTGTTGTATCATTCTTAACAGAGTTGCACCATGCCGAAGATGACAGAGAAGCAAAGAACCCTCATTCACAATCACACAATGGTCAAACTTCTGTGTGCAAATGAACACTGGGAATCTCAAAGATCACATCAGAAGGTTGTGCAAAATCCCAAACCAACCCCCAGCTCCGCACCTCATGGTCTCCATCTGCCACCACTCCCTCTTCTGGCTTTTCTCATGTTTTTTTTCAGCTGCCATAGCAGAAGCACCACGTTACAGCAGCTACATCAGCCCCTCCAACAGCTGCTGACCGAACTGTGCACCAAACCAAACATTTTCACCACCCAGCTCTGTAATCTGGTGAAGCCAGAATGCAAGCAAGGACTGTGGGATTTACCACACCACACTTATCCTCTGCTTTCCTACCTCCACCAGCATACTCTGCTTCTGTAATCCTATTTCCCTTTCCAAGAAGCTGCATTGCAGCAACATCCATGGAGCAAAACCAACAAGGTTTGCTTTACACTGGTGCTGGGATGAACACACACAGAAGTGGCAAGCAACACTAAGCACAGAGGTAAACGCATCCCTGTGCCTGCTGCCTGGGAGCACTGCCATCAGGGGGCCAGCAGCATGCCTTGCCTGCAGCCAGGAAATCAGCAACCACTCCGAAGTCATGGCCTCCAGTCTGTCCATAGCACTGACTGCTTGCAAGAGCAGCTGCATTTCTAACTGGCTTTTTAATCTGAAGTATTCTCTAATTCCCAGCAAGGCACCGTTGTTATCATTAGATTATACAGCGAGCTGTTCAAAATGCTTCAGTACAAATTTATTCTAATTTTATATATTTTTGGTGTACATCACAAAACTAGTGTCAGCTGAGCACCTGGGGAACACAAGCAGCAGAAAGAGAGATGACAACAGGATGCCTGGTTCCCATTATTGGCATCTGACACAAAGAGAGGCTGGCAGACCGGATTCGGAGGATGCATTATTAAAAGAAAAAATATTACTGCTAATGAACTACACCAAACTTGTTTAAAATAGTTAACTACTGTTATTTGCACCACTTATTCACATTCTTGTATTATTTTCAGACCAATTTAAAACACAGGAGCTGATTGCAGTTATGTCTGCCATCAGGGGGTGCTGCCAAGAATCTCCACATCCACTCTCCTTTGCTAAAACAGAACTCAAAATTGGCATGCTGCTGTGATGTTCCAAGCGATTAATCAACACTGAGCTTGATGCTATACAAATGAGGGTATTGTTGTTCCCTTTCCCCACAAGCTTATTTTTTCTTGCTCCCTCAGCTCCTCTTGGGGTTTCTGCAGGCCTCTATGCTTGCATTGCTTCATTCAGAAAGAGCAGAGCTGGAAGGGCAGGAGGCACAGCCTAGGTGAGAACACCTGCAAGTCCGTTCAGTTGTTGGGTAGGAAGAGGAGGGAAAAAGAGATAAATCTGTACCATAATTACAGACTCAAAAAGTCAGCATGAGAGCCTCCAGCACCGGGGTACAGACTTCCTCAAGAAACTTGCTGCCTCGTGCTTTGCCTGCTAGGAGGCTCACAGATGGAAGCTGGATATTGAAAACTGAGCCAAGCATAAGAAATGAAGTTATGAAAACATCATTACTAATTTATTTCTCCTCCTGACACCCGTTGTTTTGTTCTGTGGGATACTAGCGATGAATCCAAGGTCACAAGGGGAAGGAAGAAAAAAAAAAAAAGAGAAACTGCAAACAAAAAAAGCAACCAGAAAAGAAAACCTTGTAGTGAGAATACATGACACCACCATTCCCATGAGTTCATCACCTGCACACTCTGGGCAGAGATGCCAGCCAGCAGCACAGTGCTTCCCTCCATGCCCCCTCTTCCATCCCCTTTCCACAAGAGCAGATCTTCTACCCAACAGCTGCAGAGACAAAATGAAACGAGGGGGAGATGCTCACCATGACCCCAGCACCCACACTTACACAGCAGATGCAGCTCTAAATCTGCACTGGTAGCAGAGTGTGGAGAATGGGTTTGGAGCCAGGAACCTGAATCCAAACCTCTCTGCTGACTCAGAGGAAAACCTCATTAGGGAGTCAGCGAAGAGCAGGAATGCTCTATGAACCAGGGAAACTCAAGCAAGCTTTTTCCACAACAGCAACTACTGGCAGCTAAGGAATCCCCTGCTCAGAGGCCATGTCCCAGTGATGCTCTCCTGACCACATCCCATACTGCTGATGTATCTGAGCAGGTGCCAGGTAAGAACTGCTCCAGGAATGCTTACTCAGCCTTTGTTACAACCCAGCCAATTTCCCACCTCAGATCTCCTTAAGGATGTAAGCTCCCCCAAAACGTGCCAGACTTTGGAGCTGAGGCATGCTGAGGACATCGTTTAGATGTCTCAGAATTGCAGCTGGACAGCTACAACAGCAGCATGGCACTTGTGCCACTTGTGCTGGCTTCTTAAAAGGAGCCTCCAGGAAGACGTGTTGCTTCAACCCACCCCCAAACAAAAGCAGAATTAGAATTTAATTTCTAAGCTGTGAGTTTCACATAAGTTGTAAGAAGATGAACACACCTCAAAGCGTTCTGTTCCCTGCCAGTGCCAAGCTACATTTCAGTGTTATAAAATCTGGATGAGAAACTCACTAAGGAAGCAAACAGAACTGTTCTACTCATTGCTTCATCACACCACCCATCACACATAACAGACATACGCTTATGATCACTGCAGTCTTGCATCACACACACACACAAAAGTCTATAAAAAAGCTTAGGCATCTGAATCCTATGGCAGTCCTACTGTTTGAGACCTGCCCTCAGTCCTGCTGAGTACCAGTCTGTAACTGCAAACCAGCCTGTGCCACATCCTTGGAAGTCAAAAACCCCACCCTGAAGGTGTTCCCTCTGCTGCACATACACACACCCTCTGGACAGCAAGAGGCAACCTCCTCTGCCACCTGCCAAAGGTGTGCCAGGAGGGCAATACAGTCTTGGTAGGTTCTCACCTGACCCTTCTGCTGAATTTCCAGCATCTGGCTCCTGGAGAGAGGGGAAAGGTACAGTGGAGTCTTTTTGCATAAGGAAAGATAAAACAAGGTAATTCAAGGACACAGAAACCGCTTAGGACAATGTTCTGTTTTACACACTTTAAATCCTTTGGAAAACCCCCCAGAATACTGTTATTTTTGCACAAATACCATCTGGCAAAGAAAATATCATCTTCCCTGTCTTCCTGGCCCACAGCCGTCATTTCAGGAAACAGGACTGTGGTTTGATACAACAGATCATGAAATACAGAAACAGAGAACAGACATATACTTCAGTTGGTTTGCTTCAACCTACACCAATCTCTCCTGTTCCTAAAGAGCAGGAGTTTGACTGATCAGGTTGGGCGTTTTTGGCCTCTTGAAAAATCAATCTGTTCCATCAGTGTTCAAGTCTTCATCCTTGATAAGTGTTCATTCTTCCACAGGTGAGAGGCCACAGCAGCTGTGTGCCAGTGGCCTTGAAGCTGCAGAGAGCCCAATGTGGCATTTTGGCACTGCCTACCTGTAATTTCACACCTTCCTGCATACATTTCCAGCTGCCCTCCTGACAGAAGGTATAAAATCCAGCCCTTTTCTATTACTGACTCTTTTGGAAGCAATAAGATGCTTCCGTTCTCCATGCACTTTCAGCATTCGGCCTGAAAAACTCTGAAGCACTTGTAGGAAACTTGCTGGAGCAAAAAGGTGCACAGACTGACAACATGCAGTGTACAAGAACAGATCAAATGGTACTGGAAAACAACACTAAGCAAACACATCCGATGTGAGGAAACCCACACAGGTTCAGAGTCATCATTTCAGTGAAGTTTTCTGGCACATACAGACAAATTTGAAGATGCAACAGCTTTGATTTCTTTAAATAAACAATGGACAATACGGTATTCATGCCTTCAATGGCCTTTTTCCACAAGCTGTTTCCATGTGGTTAAGAAAGGAGGGCAATCTCAATTTGTATCTGAAACAGGTACAAAATCACAGCTGGTGCAGAACCGGATTCCCCCACCCCATCCCATCCCATCCCCCCAAGCTCTGACGCGGGGAGCAGCTGACTTGCAGCGAGATGAGATACAGCTGAGGCTGCAAAAAGCGCCCTCGGTGCCGTTCACAAGACGCTAACCCGACCGTAACAGATTCGCAAGGCAATTTCCTTATGGCAGGGCTCCCAGGCGCTCACGCTCTCCCACCTCCATCCCGCACCGCCCGAACCAGCCGGGAGCTCAGGCCATCCTTTGGACAGCGGGGCACAGGTCAGCCGCGGTGAGCCAGAAACGTCCGTTACCTACTACAGAATTACTCGGACATCCCCCCCACCGCAGCCCGGCGTCTTCGCACATCGTTCCCTTCGCAGCGCCGGGCACGCGGGACGATCACCGCCGCAAAGGCCGACGTGCAGCGGCACAGCCCCGGCCGAGCTGCGGCTCCGCTCGGAGCGCATCTCCGGGACACGTGCTGCGCACCGCCACACGGCGCACCGCGCTGCCCGCCATACGCGCCCGCTTCCCTCCCGCGGCCCCGCCGCTCACCGCCACCCGCGGGGCTGCGCTCCTCCGCCCGCCGCGCTCCGGGCGCCGCCGAGCCCCGCTCTCGCTTCCCTGCGCGCCGCTGCCCGGGCGGCCGCGCGCACCGCAGCCAATCGGCGCCGCCGACGGAGGCGCGCGGCTCGGACTCGGACCCGCGGCACGGGGAGGCGCGGCCTCGCGGCTGCGGGCGGAGCCCCGGACGGCCCTCGGTGAGCGGCTGGGCGCAGCGCCGGGACCGACCGCGTCACGGCCTCACCCCGCGGGCAGCACCCGAAGCGGTGCTGCGTTCGCACGTACCGTGGGGCGGAACTCCGATACCTCTCGTGGTTTGTTACAACGACGAAGGCGCGGCAGTCCCACCGCTGCAAGAAAGACGGCAGCTTTGCTAACAAAGCGCTTTTTAATCGCTAAGGATAATAAAGCATCAGAACGGTGTACTGCAAAAAGTGCACGATGTTTACCGCGAGATGCCTAAATAATAAGCGGCGCAAACACTCGTCAAGGTTCTTACGTAACTATGATTCTGCTTTGAGAGTTAATAGATGATGTCGGTGTGCACCTGCCAGCCTGCAGGTCCCACAGCCCAGCCACACCTGGACATCACCGAGCCGTGCTTCTCACACAGCTCTGCGCACAGCAGCTCTCCAGCCCCGGAGCAGCAGAGTGGGGATCTGCTCCACAAGGCCCCGAGGGAGCAGCTGGGTCAGTCTCTCGTGCTGGCAACAAACTGCACTTCATGATTGGAATTATACAAAATTCAGATACACCACCCCATGAGCACATTATTTTCAAGACGATGCTTTATTAGGAAAACAAGACCTTCCTGATGGTATAAACACAGACAAGGTGCCAGAAGCATTATCATTTCAGGCACCAGCTGGATTTCCAATTATGATCTGCATGCTTTACATTAAACCATTTCCTGTTTCTAGCCCTAACAGACAACGGACTGCTGAAGGTATAAACTTATGTGCTGAGCATGACCTACATAGAGCATGATTCCAGACAAGACTGAGAAGGTGATAGATACCCTTACCAGTTCTCTGGCAGGTCAGTTCGTGCTTCTCATTAACACTGCAAAGCCAGAGCATTTTAAGGCTCTTTGCAACTCTCCTGTTCTTAGATACTGCCTGTTTCTGGCTATTCCTTATCATCTGTGGTGTCATATCCAAATGTACAAGCTGACCTTTACACCTCTGTATGGGAAGGGATGGGTCATGGCCTGAACCAGTGATTGAGCAGCTGGTGAAGGGGTGTAGCCAGCCCTAGGAGCACAGCTGTGAGCAAGTCACCTGTGTGATCATTAACCTCACTTAAGGGCTGGCAGCTGCAAGGGAAGCATCTCTACTTGCAGATCACCTCCTTTGTACTGTTTGGTGAGCCCTGATCCTCAGAAAGGGGAAAAAATTTCTTCTTTATTATCAGATTGTGACTGTTTCCTCTCTTGGGTGAGCTGAAACTGGTTTAAAGCAACTATATCTACTGCTGCCTATACTTACAGCCTCAGACACTGAACCCTGAGACTCCCTTCAACAGCAGGATTAGCTCCATGTCTTTAGGAGGAAATTCTACTTCCTCTTACTTCCAAAAAGCAGTGATGTCTGTAGTTGCTCAGCCAAAGACACAAATGTTATTTTTTTTTTTCAGATGCTAATTTAAACCAGCTTCAATTCTACATTAAACAGATCCCAGCACCTCCTTGCCTGGATGAGTTTCTGTAACTGTACAGACTATCTTACATCAGTTCAAATTCATTTCTTGCTATTGAACATTCAAAAAAATAAAAATCACTACTTAAGTTGCAGATACACTCAAAAGAAGTTGTCTGCAGTTAATCCCCCCAGGTAAATAACATCACAAACCAAACTGCTGCAGTCTAACACTGGCAGCTACTCCACCTCACGGAGCAGCTCGCCTATTCCCCTCAGGTGGGATGGGGGAGAGAAATGGAACAGTAAAGGTGAAAAATATCCATGGTTTGAGATAAAGACAATTTAACAGGTAAAGCAGAAGCTGTTCAAGCAAGCAAAGCATAAGGAATCCAATCACTGCTGCCTGCAAGCCAGGGCAGCAAATGTCCATCATGAGTAGTGGCTACTTGGGAAGACAAACACCACAACTCTAGGATACCCCCATCCCATCTGTCCTCCAGCTTTTATTCCTGATCAGGACATCAGGTGGTATGGAATCTGCTGCTGGGCAGCTGGGGTTCACTGTCCTGGCTGTGCCCTACCCACATCCTGCAAGGGCATCCCAGAAACAGAGACCTTGATGCTGTATGACCAGTGCTCAGCAACAACTCAAACACGGGTGTGTTACAACATCGTTTTCATCACAAATTCAAAACACAGCATGGTCCAAGCCACTATGAAAAAATTAACTCTATCTCAGCTAAAAACAGCCAAAAACCCCTTATTCCACACCACTTAAGTAGTGCTCAGATCCCACCCTAACCAACGCATTAATCAGCATCCTTCAATGTATACACAGATATCATTCACTCAGTCTGTGGGCCACCCCTGTGAAAGGTCCATAAAAACACACACAGAATGTCCACAGAGCACATCTAGGGTGTGTTAGGTTCCATCATTAATGGGGGTCTCTCAGGACAGGAGAGGTGGTGTGCTGTCAAAATCAGTGCATGAACCAGAAATAAGAGCTCGAGTTGGGAATCTCTGGATTAAGATACAGGGGTTTTGTTTGTTTATCTTTGATGTTTAAATGAGAATTGTGAGAGAAATGTTCTATGTTAATCTAGGCAGATACATACCACATAACATAATTTTTACATTTTGATTTTACTCGCAGGAAAAAGCCATCATCTTTCTCTAATGACCTTTCATCTCGTTAAGCGACAGGAAAAATAAATATATCTTCATGCAAAATATACCCTAATGCTCATGCATTATGGAATAACTGACCTAAAAGGACCAAAGTAAAGCAAATGTAAAACAGACTTTCACAAAGACAACCAGATGCTTCTAATGTGATGTACACACTCCCACGTGTCACAGGCTGGAACAGTTTTATCATGACATTCTCACAATGCTAAAGAATCCAGCAGGCACAAGAATGTAAGTGACAGTGCACATATGGCAAGTGATATAAACATCAACACTATAGTACGCACAGAATTTGTAATGGGTATAAACACTATGATTTTTGGTTTCATTAATAACACAGAGGAGAATTGATAAATCCATCATACTTTAATCCAAAAGCTAAGGCACTGAAAGCCTCATTTGCAGAGACAAGACATTCTGGGTCACCTTCTTCCCGGCCTCACACATCCACACTGAGAACTCCAACATTTTAAGAGGGAGGAGTACGTCACCTCCCCTTCCCATCCTCAACCTGGCAAACATTGAATAGCTTAGAATGCCACCAGGACAATACAGCTCTAGGACTTCTGTGGAACATTTGAAAATGTACCTTGCCTCCTTTGCACTGAGACAGTTGCCCTAAGCTAGAACAATTGAGATAAGACAAACCCAAAACAAAGAGCTAGGTTTCATAACCAGATTGCTTAAATGGAAGTCCGTGAATGACAAACAGGGTTTGCCCATAGATTCTTTCACAGTTGTCCATAAATACAAATAATGTGCAACTCTAGTAAGACTGAGAACTGTATCCAAGTTCAGAAAACTAAAAAGTAACACGCGTGACATCTGCAAATCGGCCATATGGATCAAGGTGAAATACCTCTCTGTTAGAAACTAAAGCCTAAGTCATCAGTCCCAGAGAATGTGCAGTTCTGTGTCACTGCCACAGCTGCTCAGCCAGCACGTCCTCTGAAGATCAACATTAACCAGTTTCGTAACAGAAGCAAAGGAACCACATTCTAAGAGCCAAAAAAACAAGATTTGCTGAGGTAAGGCAAATCTGCAGGGAATTACTTTCTGAGAACTCAGATTCAACAGGAATTTTTTCAATAAAACACCCCCCCAAAATATTATGCTTAGATTAAGATCTTCTATTTTCTCAGGTCCCTGTCACGTTAGCTGATCAGCAGTGATCTTCCACAATTCCTATAGGAGGGAAAAATTCATATAGTTATTTTCTCAGATCAGTAGATTGTTATTACAAGGAAGCTCAACTTGCACACACTCTCTGATTCACAGAAAATCCATTTACGTAATCTCCCACAACAACCAACACATTATCTCTGAGATAGAACAAGAGAATTGCGTTCTTTATTCTTGCAGTATGATTTTTTAAAATAAGAAAATAGTATAATTCAAATAATTTCTAAAAATATTTAGAAATTGCTCTACATAACCTGCAGTATTTTGACTGAGAATCTTGTTCTTTTTCTTAGACTATGTTGAAAAACACTTCCAATATTGCTAGCAAAGATGTAGCTTAAAAAATAGTCCATTTATTGAGGAATCAAGGTCTCACAAATGAATACCTTATACACACACTTCTCCATACACTGCAGAACAAGGATGAAAAACAGACACTTTGTTTTCGTAGAGTAAATTAGTGTAAGGTTTGTCTGCTATATTAAAGATAAGTAATCAGATTATCATATCCCTATCACCACAACATCTGGAATTCTGGCAATGTGCTTCATGATAAATGAGAAGACTTCTGCATTTAAAAAAATGTACTTATTTCAAAGGCCAGTAGCCTTCCACAGGTATACCACAGGTACACAGGTATGTAGAAAATACGTTCACACCCGTAGATATAACTCATACATGTGTAAACTTATTATAAAACATTCATGCAAAATCTTATTCCTGAAGGTGTAAGCACTAAGAAAAGCAAATTAATCTCATGAAATGGCTGTGAAACCCATAACCATACAATGCATACATACTGTACTACACAAAACAGTATGTTGGCTACAGGACTACAGATTCAGAAGCTAGTCCAAGACTTGCAAGTTCTCCCCAAAGGTCTCTTAATTTCTATTGCTACAGAAGCTAACAAGCTACTAGCTGGCTTGCATAATACTCATGAGAGTAGACAACTGGAAAAAAGAACAGAGAGGAAACCATGAGTGCTTGGAATGTAATTAAAATAATGTATCTGATACATCTCTAAATACCAGAAGTTTATTACTTGTCAACTTCTCCATATATATATTAGAACATTATTACCTTAACACTGATTGGGAATTATGAAAAGGAGAAAATGAAAGCTTTTTTACATTCAAAGAAACGAAGAAGATATTGATCCATTTTCCAGTCAATCACAAAAATTGTTATTTTACAAAGTACCGGAGATTGCTCTCATTTCCTCTGATGTTAAGAAACAATTTAAGCCACTGAATTGTTCTGTGATAGAAAAGGGCATGTTATGCCTATTTAGTGTGGGCTATGGAAGCACCGAGAAGAATCGTTTTAATACAAGAAAAACTAAATGGAAATAAATAAGAGCGTAACATTTGTTCTTCTGTTCTTACTTCAAGTTAAGTACACAGCTGAAAACTAATTTCAGATTGCTAGCCCAACATATGCCATTTATTTTAATGAATGCCACTTACCAACTGCTCAATCCTTTCATAAATGAGAAACTGGCAGAAATCAGGCTTAATGGGTTCCACACTGTATTTCATTTTTCCATCATGAAGGTTCTCCAAATCATTTAGAGTACTTCGAAAATGACTGTAGGCTTCACACGTAACATCCATCTGTCTTAAAGTGAAATTCAGTCTGACAAGACAATATTTAAATTAAAACCTTTTTTGTATACCTGCATCTTAAACAGCTATGTAACTTTCTTCAGCTAATGAGAAATTTAGGTCCTCTCAGAGTAATTCACTTCCACAGTTAAAAAAAAAAATAACCTCCTGCTGCCCCCAGAAAGCCTGTCCTATCCAAAGTCTTGTCCTTTCAAAAACCCACTAAGTCTTAGATGAGACTTTCCACTGATTTTAGCACATTCTGCTCCAACAAAATAACTGGCTTTGTTTCTGGGACAAACACTTTGCACCAAATCACATGAATAGCTATTGGTTACATACCTTTAAGCATAATCAACTTATATACTAGTTTATGAACAGACTTCAACATACAGCTACTCGAAAGCATGCAATTCCTTGAAAGAAACCACAAAAGCAATTACAGTGGGGGGATGCGAGCTAGGAAATGTGTGCATTTTCTCATTCTGAGCCCTTTCACTCCGCTCCATAAGCACAGGACCTCAAAAACACAGCAAATTTTGTCAGACATTAAACTGGCCACCTATTAATCTTCATTTGCACAAAGGTTACCTAATGCATGACAAAAGTAAGATCACAAAAGCCACACTTTTCTGGAGGTCAAATTCTGAACTTATACAAATTAAAGTAGTTTAACAAATGCCTGTACTGGGCATTCACAGCAGCCTTCCATCAACCAACGTGATGATAATCAGAACCTGGCCTTCAGGCACATCAGGGCTTTCATTCAAGGAAAGGAAAGAACGTAAGATTCTAGTCCTTCTTATGGTAGGATGTTGGTAATACTTGCCTCTTTTCTATGGCTAGGAAAACTGTGCAAGAATGTTTCACATTACGTGTGATTCTATACAACGTTCTGAATAAGGCATCTGTCAGATCATCATCATAGAACACTATGGGAAGAACATGAAGAGCACATTATATTTACATGTAAGCGTAGCATTTACTTAAATCTCAGGCTTGAAACAACAAGAAGCTTTAATTCTATTATAATCAAACAAATCATTATTTTATCTAAACCCCCAAAGTATTACACATTTAATGGCAGCAACTGACCCAGCGATAGTATCCAGTGCTGCTCTTTACAAAAAGAAATCTTATAGATATCTCTCATGACACTGGGAATCATTTCTGTCAGGCAACTTACAGAACTTTAACAAGATCTCTCTCAGCCTGGAAATACCTTACTGCAAAGCTAAAAAAAAAAATAAAAAAAAAATCACATACCACATTTTTTTTTTTTTTTTTTTTCCCCCCACTTCAGCAAGAACAGGGAAAAAAAAAAAGCCAGAGAGATGCAATAGGACACATGCAGTACCTAAAAGTCTTCCCACACTATGGAGCATACTAGTCCGGCCACCTATCTGTCTTTACTTGCACCAAGGTTATCTGATTCAAGATAAGGGTAGGACAACACTTAACTCTTCTGAAAATCAACTTAATCACTTATGTGCAATTATATTCTTTGACTAATTTACTCACAAATAATAAGGCTATTAGATTTTTCAGTATCTTATTCTTCTATTGCTAATTCAGACAGTAAATAGAATTGTTTAAAAAAAATACAGACAAGAACACTTGAGGCAGAGATTTGAGAAACAGGTAAGGATTTGATCTATCACATTTCAAAAGTAAACTATGTACAGTTAAGTTGTTCCTCAAAATGCTCAAGAGAGCATTTTTGATTTAAAAGCTTGCTGGTTATATTTTCCTACCATCAGCTGCCATTATCACAGTACAGTGGTCATGCAAATCTGCAATCTCTTCTTCAGACCAGCTATAGAGAGCTTCCGGATCTGTAACAAAAGAAGATAGCTTGTTTTTAAAGCTACACCTTTAACTGTTTGACACATTTAAAAAAAAAACATTTTAATAATTTAATTTAGTGATCAGCTACTCAATAAGCAGAGCAACTGACTGAAGGGAAATCACAGCCTCCCCCTATTTGCTCTCTGAAGTTCCCTTCAGTCCTTTGCTTTTGCTCTCTCTTTCTTGCAGTTCACTCAGGGCTGACTGGTGTGATTAAGTTTCCCTTGACATAAGAATTTAATACCAATTACTATCCTGCAGCAAGAGTACAAATTCAGTTAGAAAACAAATGCATTTTTTGATTAAGCTTCCTCCTGTTACGCTTTCTAAAATTTAGAAGCTTTCTGTGAATATCTGAAAATCATCAAGCCTGTTCATCTGGCACTATCAAGTATTTTCAATAAGCATCTAAAGTCCAAGAAAAGCTTCGAAAGCGTAAGGATGATTTTACTTCCTTAAATAGTTGTTCTACTTTCTGAACCATTACATCATACTACTACCATTCAACTGATAAGAAAGCCTAAAAAGCATAGCAGGATTCAGAAACCCAACTACTGTAACAACTACCTACCAGTGCAGAATTCATCTTTCAGCCAGTCTAGTTCTTTTACTTTAATTTCTCCTCCTGTGGGTGTAGAAAGATCCCAACAGTCACAAATGATCTTTCAGCCAGTACTGAAACATGTGGTAAGATATACTAAAAGGATATATGAAACAAATAAGACTGGACATCATTTACAAAACCAGTCATCCACTGACAAAAGGAGAGTAAGACAAACTTAATCATCAGAAATATCTTAATTTCTCTTCTATATGTCACCTGCAAGTTGCAAAGTTCAGCCTCTGTAATTTGCACTGTTTACACGACCCTTGGCACCCAAATGTCCACGATCCTCACAATTACCTCAATGAAATGAACACAACAACATAGAAGCCACAGCTGGGCTTAACTTCTTACCAGAGAAAGATTGAATATTTTGCTCCTTTCCAAAAGAAGCTATCCCATCTTGAAACACGTATAGATTTCTTGCATCTTTCTAAATGAGTCACTTTTAACCAAAACAGAAGTTTAATTTATCCATAAAAATGCCAGCCAGCTTGCCAATGACTTATGCTGTTTAATCCTACAGTAATTCATAGACAAGCAATTGCACAAGAACTGTCTGCACAGCACTTACCTCCTGGTTCCATCAGGTGTTTGTTTAATGCAACATTTTGTTCACACATGGCCAAAAGATCTTCACCAACATCTGGAAGAAAATAATAACAATATTCAAAATGAGGATATTTCACACGCGCTGTACATTCCTCTGACCTCTCAGACAATTTACCTCAACTTCTCCCAAACTAAAATTCAAAGCAGCTCCCTTCTCTCACGACTGCTTCCACAGCACCCTCGCTTTTTTCTTTCATTACTAAGCTCCACATCATCCTTGATAAAAGGAGTTAGATCGCCATACTGCCTATTTTAATCTAGAAAAGTATTTGGTTTTTAAAACACGTGCACCTGGAATTATTACTGCTTTTTAAATCTGTCATGAAAGTGCTTGCCATTTTTCAATAAACAGCAACATTTTATATGCATTGGTAACAAATTAGCAACTAAAAAAAGAGCAGGTGATGATAAAATCCCAGGATGAAAGTACTGGTTTGCAATATTTCATTAAAAATAACTGCCTTACCTGTGCAATAAACTCTGCTAGCAATCATTCCCATGATAATGCTTGCAATTCCTGTGCCACCTCCAAGCTCTAGCACTGTGCAACTCCTGAACACATCCCGTTTAAACAGAATATAATCAGCAAGAAGAAAGGCTGCACGCCAGACCTTTGGAGAAGAGTAGCAGTTAAACCAGAGAAATTCTGAAGCACAATTCATAAACAGCAAGGCAATACAAGGCACAATACATACTTGTTTACCAACATCTTCTAAGGGGGTTGCCATAGTATGCTCTATGAAAATGGAAAGAGAATATTGTTTCAAAACACTGTTCAAATCAAGTTCCATAATAGCAAATTTGAGAAGTCAATTAATGCTTCCCTTTTAAGTCTAGAACTAAGCACTATTAATTCTACATAGTAACACTGGATAATGGTGAAAACCCCACTCTAATTAAGGAAAACCATTTCTCCACGATGTACAATTGTCCAAAACAGTTTTGGAGAAGAACTGTTTTTAAAGCAATTAACAGTATCACAGTATTACGATGGCTTATTATCTACTTCCCAAGTTCTCTTTCATTTAAAAAACCAACTTAGTTTTTCTTTGTTTTACTTGAGCAGATATTTATTCAATTTCTCCTTGAACATAAGCCTATTATTTACCTATTTTAACAACATTTCTGCAAGTGCATTCTTGTTCTTCATCCTCAAAAGCATTTTCTTTTCCTTTCATCAGAATTACAGGATATACTCTATCCCTCATAAGATCCTCTGCCTCTGAGTCACTGGCTCTTTGAGGTCTTCTGACCACGTCCAAGTCTCCGTCCTCGTCTAGCAGAGCTTCTATTCCTTCAGTATTCAATTCCTTTTCATATTTCAGATTATTCCCATCCTTGCTAGTTAGTTCAGCTCCACTTCTGTACTGGTGTTCTCTTTCAGTTGTAGTTTCTCTTGCATATTTCTCAGAGGCCTGATCATCTGTGTTCCAAAGGAGTTTGAAATACGACAGGAACACTGCAAGAACATGGAGTGGGAGGAGGATAAAGTTAAAGATCAATGCTAGGGAAGAACAGAATCTATATGCAACCTTCACTTGCATGACGTTTGATATGCATTTCACATACCAAAATATCTAGAGCAGTGAAAGTGTTACAGGTATCTTGGAATACAGCTCTACTTGCTAGTAAGAAATATTTCTGCTAATTCTGTCAGAAGGGATAAATGAAGCACTACCAGCATCTGCTGGTTGACTAAGCATCTACTCAGTCACAATTTACATTTTCACCTTACTTAGAAATTTGTTTCAGCAATCAGGAAAATAAATGATTTCTTACATCCTCTAAAAGATCTTCTGTTGAGACAGATCAAGTTAAGAGAAGAACAAATATCGCAAATTAGGAATTATATCAACATAAGGAAGTGAACACAATCTTGAAGGACACAAACATTTCAGAAAAAAAAGTAAAAGGATTTTCTTTTTCTATTTTCAAACCCTTTTGAGACTCAAGTAACTTCCCACCTTGCCATCAGCTTAAAGCAATATGAGGCAGCACAAATAGGCAGCGTGCCTCCTGTCAGCTTAGGTTGGACTTACTGATACTTTTTTTTTTTTAAGCCAAGAAAATATCTAGTGAAAACAGCCTACACCAGCAGTATCTAAGAAGAATTTCTTGGAAGTGAGTTCACTCTCACCAAGGGGAAACTGTTTGCCACTATTGATTTCAACAGTTTCACAATCTATGGAGTTCTATTTCAGTTGCTTCAGAGATATGCAAAGCTGGACATACAGGATACTATGGGAACATAAGAAGTCCTTCTCTAGAGATCGTAACAGCTAGATCTTATAAAAATCTTCACTGTCTATCCAAGCACAAGAGATTTAGTAAGTCGGCTACAGTTTGCATGACAACCACATTAAATGGATTTGACGAATTAGAGGATGCAATCAACATATCACAGAATCATAGAATATCCCAAGTTGGAAGAGACCCTGCTCTCTAAGTTCACCCTGATCCTCAGAGTTTCAAAATGGAAAATTGATCCAAATAAGCAAAGACTAAATCCCAGGAGGTCCCCAGTGAAGTGGCGGTGGCAGATTATTGCTGGATTTTTTAGAGTAAAAGCTGTCATACTACAATCCAGCTCTGGTATGGGAAATTCATTTATTTCTTAAGACTATGGACATTCAGAGTACATAAAACAGACTGTCATATTACTGTGTTGAAAGGTTCTTTGTGCCAAGGAGAGTCACATCAAACAAACACTAAGACACCACAGTGACTGAGCACCTGGTGGGAAGGCAGGGCCAACCCAGGGGAGCTGAGATGCATGCAATGTACCAGAGTGGATGGAAGGGCAGGAGCCAGGATCCACCCATTCCCAGACCTCATTTGAGGGTTGACAGTAGAGGCAAGGGTATCTCACTGGAAATCCCTGCCTACCTGAGGCCTTCCAAGGGTAAACAGAGTTTTCTCCTTTGTTTCTGTACCCACAACTGATGCATTTGGGCATAACCTCACTTGTTGCAGCCTCTGACTTTGTTACCCTGTTATCACTGCTGTGCTTTCTGCTGCATTATAGTGTTACAAGCACATTTTACTAACAGCTTCAAGGTCATTTCCCTTGACAACTTTATAGAAACCTACAAGCTGGTAGAGGCAGTCATTTGCCAATTCATTTCCACTAAGGGCTTGATTCTTTCATTTATATAAATCAGTCAAGCTCATTGCTATACTCAGATTTGTTGTAGCCAATTTTTTAAATTAAAAAGAAAACCAACCACACAACAGATAACAAAGCTGTTGAGTTCCTCTGGAACAGATGGTAAATCATCATTTAAAGATTTTATAAAAAACATAAATGAATTACTTATGCACTTATTTCAAGTGGTGGTATTTAAAACTGCTGGCTTCTCACTTCTAGTCTATATGCAAGACACAAACTAACTTCTTAATGTGATCCCCAAAGGGGCTGTCTTGAGATTCTAGGTAAAGGAATAAACATGTAAAATTAAGCTTGCACAAATACTGATGTTACTTCTTCTCAGAAAGTAACTTAAGCTGTTTTTTTCTGTTCTAAGATGCGCTATCTACAAATCCATATTAATAGTTTTATGTAGGTATTTTCATGAGGAGAATCCAGTTAAACCTCTTCCCTCCGAGGAGGAGCAGTTCTTCTGCTTGGAGTAAAATACATAATGATTACTATCAACCAATCGAAGGAGGACTAAGACAATACAAATACATTAGAGTGTAATTAAAACACAGTTCCTTCAGTCTAAACACGCATTACCTGGCTGTCCGACTGCATTCAATCGTACCATGAGATGACTTTTGTTGGGACAGTGCAAGTGCACATCAGAAAGGACGGTGTCACTTTTGAACGTGAGGTTATCCATCTCCTTCCCCGTGACATCTCCCATGGCACGGCAGTCAGTCAGAGGGACGCTGTGGGGACAGCTGCCATGCAACTGCTCTGCCCAGCACGACCTCGGGGCAGCTTCAAGGCCTCGGGCAAGCTGCAGTCACACCGCCTCCCCTGTGCCCTGACGAGACACCGGGCTGCGCATGGGGGAATCCAACCTACAAGCAAACACAGCCAGCCTTCAGCTCGGTAACGCTGCCCTGTGGCGTGAGGAAACAGCTCACACCAACAACTAAGTTACGGTGCTTCAGCGTTCCCTTCCACAGCGCTCCAACAGCTACAGTTCACCACGGACAGCAGACGCTCCAGGAGGGAACACCGCTCATTAAGCTGTGTTAAAAGCACCCGACCGTGCCGTGAGAGGAAAGCAGCACACAGCGCCGTGCACTGAAGGCTCCTCGCACGGCGCGGCTCCTCCTCAGAAACCAACGCAGTGAACGCACAGCTCAGTTCCGTACATTTTGTTCAAATACTGCCTCTTCCTGGAGAAACCCGGCTCCTCTCACGTGCCCCCAGCAGAAGGGCGGTCGGCGAACGTATCCCGCTCGTCTCTGAGTTCTCTACTTTTCTCCACAAAAACAAACAGCAGCCCTCCTCGCTGCCCCGTGCCCGCGGCTCCGCCGGTTCTGTCCTAAAGCGCAGACAAACATTTCCCCTACAAACAGACACAAAAGACCGACATTTATTTCCCCGGACGTTCTGAGAAAGGCGCGTGAAACACGAGCGCACCGCAGCCGTGAGGACAACGCTACTCCGGCTCACACGCACAGACCCGCGAGCCACAGCTCCGAGCGGCGCCTCCCGCCCGCCCTCACGCGCAGCGCGCCGCCATCTTGGAGCCCGCGGCTCCTTCCGGCGCGCAGCTGACGCGCCCGCCCCGCCCCCCTCGCCGCCATTGGGTCAGTCAGTCACAACGGCCGGCCTCAATGGCCGCCTGCCTGCAGCCGCCTGCAACTGCAGCAAGCAAATAACGCTCTCCACAAACTGTGCCACGTGCTTGTGAGAGCTACGTACAAAAATACCCTGACACAAAAAAAAAACCAGTCAAATTAGAGCAAATACTCAAATGAATTCAGTCTAGTTGGGCGCGATGCGGAGCTGAAGGACAGCCATGGCCTTGGTGCTCAGCCTCGAGGCATCACAGAAGAAATGAGGCACGTTTATGTTTTCACCCAGAGCAGTCACCTTCCAGCTGCTTTTTCAACTTAACGTGCTGTGTGTGAAAAATATTTAAAGCTAAATGCAACTGAACATCGAGTCACAAAGCAAAATAATACCGTTTCATTATCAATGTAAAAGCGGGATTTTTTAAAAATATATACTCCTGGTTGAGCAGGTTCTTGCAATACCATCGCACAAAATTGAAGAATTTTGCTTGTTTGCTGGGTAAGAACAGCTGAAGTGACACACCATCATTTTCCTGTACTGCAGCTGTGACTGTCAGAAAAGCCAGCATTGGACAGAAAAATAGAAAATTACAAGTTCTGCAGGTTCAGAGAAAGCAACTTGTCAGTAATACACTGTTTGTGAGCTCTTTGTTGCTAGGGAGCCAAAGGGAGCCAGCAGATAGAGAGCAGTGATCCTTCCCCTCTGCTCGGCACTGGTGAGGTGGTACTGGAGTGTGGGTCCAGTGCTGGGTCCCACAGAGACCATCATAAGAAGATGAGGGTCCATCACAGGGCCATGAAGGCTTGAGGGGGATGGAGCACCTCTCCTGTGAGGAGATGGAGAGAGCTCGGGCTGTTGAGCATGAAGAAGGCTCAGGCGGATCTCATCCTTGTCCATAATACCCGGAGGGAGGTGCAAAGGGGATTCAGTCTCATAAAGACATCTCAGGTGACAATACAGAGGATACAATGAACTCACAGGTTGTGTATAATTGCAGTCCAACAGACGTGCAGTTTTTCCACAGTACACTGCACACTGAAGAAGTGATGTGATTGATTTCCCCATTCATAGTTGTAGCCTTGCAATCAGCACAGACACTGAAAATAACTGGATTTTGTTGAAAGATACTCAGAACTCTGGTTGCTGATTATATTCAATTCAAGGTACGTTCTGATCCGATGCTTTAGAACAGGTATCATGAAAGCTGAAAAGCCTGCAGCAGCTGGTCTATTATGTTTACTGACCCATTCCCTATCCCCAAAATCTCACTAAAGCAATATATTTTGTAACAGTAATAAAAACGGTAGTTTAAAACAATAGCTTTGGGTCACATTATAATGATATAGACAAAGGGAAAAGATCTTTCTAGGCTTCAGATTAAAAGAGCAGCTATCAGAAAGACCACAGGAGATCACCAAGGAACTAAGTATAACAATAAAAAGCAGCTTAATATCTTGTTTTTCACATTGACATTTATGTGTGTGCATCCAGATTTTTGCTCTTGTTGAGTGCAGAGTAAATGGTGCTATGGGCACAAATATATATATTCTTTTAATAATTTTATATTTAGTACCATGCCTTACCATACTGAATTAATATCTTATAACACTTAGAAATGTTTATCCTCCCAATCCATTTGTGAACTGGCTGATAGTGATTACTCTTCTTTCATAAGAGAAAAAAGCATTAAGGCCTTTAGGAATTACATGTCCAGGCAGCACCAAGTGCCTTTCTTTAAATTGCTTTTCCAAAGCAACTTAGTATTCTTTGCATACAGCAAGAAACTAAATTAGAACAACTTGTTTCTACCCTAATGCCCTAACCACAGCGCCCTTGGATGCCCAGGTTATTGTTTTTATTACAGATACATTAAGTCAGAATGAAAAGTGAGATCATGTACCAGTAAGCTAAGGTGAAATCTGACTGTAATGCTATGATTGCACAGAGTATACCCTGTGTATTTCTGCAATATTGATAACTATGATTAGCATTCGCTGGTATGCAAAGTGCTTTGAACTTGGAATGAATAAAAAGACTGTTGATATAGATGAAAAATCAGTGGAGAACTTTGTTTTGCTATCTAAGCACATGACACTTCGGTGCTGGCCAGCAGGTTGAAAATCCCTAAATCACTGCTTGAGGTTGAAAAGTTCATGAAGAGTAAATGAACAGTAATTTAAAAGGGCAAGTGCAGCTGTCAGCTTCTGTGTTTCCATATTTCTTGAATATCCACTTTTTCTTCCCAGGGGAAGCTTGCCTCATCCAGCAAGAAAACCAAATTACAAGGCAATGACAGCAGTGCAGAGCTAAACCCACAGTGATTTCTTTTTCATTAACTATTTTGTGGTTATTTATCAGAAACATTCACACTCTGATTATAGCATTATTCTCCACGGGATCGTTCAGAACAAGAATTTGCATGCCTTTGGCACCATCCGATCAGGACTTCTCCCATCCAACACTGGCAGATTTACATAGAATATTTTCTGAGAGAGGTCTGTATGCCACATGTCAGGCGGTTCTTAACACAATATTAATCCAGTGACTGTGACAAAAAACACACACCCAAATTCTCCTTAAGCAGAAGGAAAAGAGCAAACTTAAGGTGAATGAAAAGCCCTCTTTTATGTGCAAGCACACTAAATCCATAAAACACAGAAGCGCTCTGATGCATTCAGTAGCAATCACGAATCATTGTCTTTTAAATTGGGATCTCTGAGCTAGATTACAGGGAAGAACTGCAGAAAAGCATTTGATGCTTGCATGCTCTATACCAAATGCTGTCGTAAAGTTTTAGTAGACTTTAATGCCGATTAATGCTCCAGAAAGTAAGAGAAAATTCCATCCATCCATTCTGCTCCTTTCTGCACACAACTTCTTTCCCATTCCCAGGCCCACCTCTGGGGTGGTCAGTCTCTTCTGAGATTTTAATTAGGCTCTTGAAGGTCAGAATGCTGCATTTTGCTACACTGCACCCTGTATGCTATTAACAATTATCTGTGATATCTGAATAGCAGGTTGTACAAAAAGGGTAGCTCCTTCTCCACGAAGATAATTCTGCATTAAAATCTAAGCTCTTCCTACACTGAAAACCCCAGTGTGACTTCCAAGTTTGTGTTATTTTTAGACATCTCTGTAGATTTGTAATTAAATCTCTGGTGAAGCCAATCTGTACCACTCTCTTCTTCCTTTCATTATGAACCCTTTCTCATGAATACATGAAGATTTTTTGATGAACTGGGATTCTTTTGTTTTCTGACTTTGTAGAAGTCCATTTTGTTTTTCTTCTCAGCATGAGAATGAATGCCTACAGATTATGCTGATGTGGAAATTAAATCTCCTTGAGCTGATATATTCTTGACATTAGCTTTTCTATCATGACAGACTGGGCATAAAAGGATCAGGAGCTAGCAAGTCTAGCTTTTGTTTTCTGTAAAGTTAAGCCAGACAGATTCTGCAGGGACCTCCACATATTCTCATGACTAAAACAAATTATTTAGTAATGTTCCTAAGAATAAGCACGTCTAGAGCTTTGTGGCATCAAGCTTAGGGAAAACAACTGTCCGGGATGCATGTCACAGACACACATCCTGTGTGGTAGCATTATTCTGGGGCCACTTGGACCTACTCAGCTTAAGTGCTGCTGTTTTATTCTGTGATGCCCTTTGCTTTCCCTTGACATTAACTGGAGGAGGGCGATGGCAGGCTGGTTGAGATGTGTGGTTGGCTCAGATCTGAGAAGTGAGCTGATGAACCATCTGCTCAACGCGTGATGCTTGTGGGGCCAAATAAGTCTGCAAACAGTTGGAAAAACAGACAAGTTTGGAGTCCCAATTAAGATTCGTGCCCCAAAGCTCATTTATGTCTTATTACTGGATCAATTAATCTAATGAAACATTTCACCTTGTTCCGTGAGGCTTGTATGGCTTCAGTCATCCGATAACAACAGCTGCTTAGTTTGTAGAATGACACCAGCACTTTCACGTGTTACAAATACACCCGGGGGAGGTAAGAGATAATAAAAGCTCGGAATGAAGATGTAGTCGCTTAACAGTGTATTCCCGAGTGGAAAGACTATTATAAATGTCAGCAATGCACATCCTTGTTTGGATTTGCACAGCAAAACATAGGCAGGAGTGATGCTGAGGGGTGTGTGTAAATAAACACGCTCTTTCCAGGAATATTTTCCTTCGAGCTCATCCTGCTGCTGAAAGCATACCTGAGAGCTTGTTGCCACCAGTGGGTCACACGTCGTGCCCGTGCCCATGCCAGAAAAGAACAGAAAATGACTGTGTAACGACTGGGCGTTACTTAACGTTCCCCTGGGGAGCCTGGGATGAGTTCTGAGCAAGCAAGCAGCAGAACGAGGCTCCCTATGGAGCGCCCGTGCGGAGCGCCCGGGAGCCGCGCTGCTGCTTGCGTGCCGCCGCCAGCGGGACCCGCCGTGCCGGCACCGAGCGGCACCGAACGGGCACGGGCATCGCCTCCTCCCGCACCGCCCTTCCCGTCAGCGTGCATCTCCTCCCGCGGTCCGACGGGCAGCATGAGGGTGAGCCTGAGCGTCCTGTCGCTGCTCGTGGCTCTGGTGGGAGCCTCCAGCTTCGTCTTCCTCGTGGTGGCCATCGCGACGGATTTCTGGTACATCATCGATGCCTCCCGCCTGGAGACGGAGGCCAACGGCACGGCCCCTCTCAGCTCGTACTCGGGGCTCTGGCGGACCTGCCGGCGTGAGTGGGGCGGCGGGGGGGCGGCGGGAGGGGGTCCCAGACCGTGCCTTGCCGATGCCGTCGTCTCTGCTGTCCGTAGCCGGGGGCCGCCCGCCCCACCCGGGCTCTCCCTCCACCCACGGAGGATGCCCAACGCCTGGCTCCTGCTACTGGGCAAAGGGGCACGAGCAGAGCGGATTTTCTGCTCTCGCAAAGTAGATCGGCATTAACTTTTAATTCAGAGCAATTGAATAAGCGTTAAACATGTAGAAGGGAAGAGATCTGTTTTCATTTGGCTCAGGGGAAATTAAGGGGAGGAAGTCCAGCGGGGTTAAAGCCATTCCAGTGATCGCCAATGATGGAAACAGTATGTACACCACCACACAATGCTCACTTTGTATCCCTAAATCGTGGTAACAGATATTATTATTTATTATATTCTTGTTCATGTATGATAATAATCTTTAGCTTAACGTTTTTCCCATTTTTTCCCTCTTCTATATCAGTTAGAAGCAAATGCTACCCTTTGATCAACCCCTTCTGGCATGAGAATGCAAACATCACCGACTCACACCGACAGCTCTTATGTGAGTAACTTCTGTGTTGCTTCCATTCTTTCCCCCACCCTGCCCACCTCCCTGGGCCACGCTCATGCTCCCAGCACTGCTTCAGAGGGGGCTGTGAGAACTGCACTGTACAGTCACTGCATGCAGTCCTTAAGAGGGATTGCTGCTGGCATAACCCTCTGCTTGATGTCAGGTTCAGCCAGTTTCTGCCAGAGGAGCACATTCCTGCTGGGGGGCTCAGGAGGGTTCATGGTTGTTATAAACAAAAGGCAGGAACGTTGAAGATTCCCACATAAGAGTTTAATTCCTGGAAATGTTTAAGCATACCATTAAATTAACATTTAAGTCAGTCACTTATCTACCTTGTCATTGGGATCCATTCCTCCAAAAAAATATTATGGTACGGGAATTTAAGAAAACAAATCAATAACTAAAAGAAGTATTAAAGCTCTGTAAAGAACATCGTGCTCAAAAAGTTACTTGAAGTTTCTAACTGCACACATTGATGTTCTTTTTCTTTAGATTCATTTGTCAGAATCAGAATGTTTTCAGAACGCTCAAAGTGAACATTTTCAAATTCTTCTGGGCACCTGGTAAAAGATGAATTTGCTTCTTTGCACCACATTCATGGTGCATGGCACTTGGTTCATACAAGAGCTTGTTTACGAGCTTCCTTTTTTGTATACCTCTCCTCTCTAATTGTTTTCCCCTCACAAGCAGAACACACACATTTATACTGTGTCTTTCCCTCAGAAATCCTGTACTTTCCGTGAGCACCCCACGACACAGCCAGCAGTGCAGCCAACGTGGCAAAGTAAGCACAGGACTACTGATGTAATGCGGCTGTGTTGCTGGGAAGTTTAAGTAGAAATAAGCAGCATCACCACCAACACACTGACAGGTTGGAGCCTAGCAGCACAAACCATCTCTGCACTTGGAAATAGAAAGGTGCCATTTTTTTCACCTTCCTTCCTTAAGACAGAGGGCCTTAGCTTCATGATGACGGTAAAAATTGTGAAGATAACTAACAATGATTGTTTCCTGCATCGCTGAATCCTTTAAGGAGTTCAAAGTTAACATTTAATTGATTAAACCTAACCACACCAATCACATTTACGTATGGGCACCTCGACCAGTGAGGTCAGAGGTTGCCTAAAATGTCAGGACAACATTATGTCCATGTTTGCAACTGCTACATCTGTAATTCCTCTCACATAAAGAGGTTTCAGATTACAGCTCTTCAGTGAAAGCTGAATTCTGCTAAAACAGAATCAAAACTATTCCAGAGCTTTTTATTATAAAAATGACGTTGGCTTGGAAACAAAGGACACCTCTTTGGTAGGCAGGCAGGGTAAGAAAATAGTGGATACATGGAAAAATTGGATCCATAAGTACACGTACCGACTCTTCAGAGCCTCAGAGAGATTTTATCTCACATCAAACACCACTTATAGTTTCTTAGGCAGAGCCTGCAAGCCTGCAAAGATACTTGCATGCTTTATTATGAACAGGCATAGCCTGCCTAAAAATGAGGATATAAGGGCACTTTAATTAAATGAACCTGTTAGGTTTGATTAGAATACCCAGCAAAGAACTCTGATGTTTTAGATGCACAGCTTCAATGCAACTTCAGTACACTGCACAGCAATAGCAGCTGTACTTCTAGGAAATACAGATATTTCTAAAAGTGCCATCTGTTTGGTACGGATGTTCTACTTCAGCCTTATATTTTTTTCTTGAAGTGTTTTCTGACTGTGGTTCCTGGATCGTATTTAGGCAGATCTGGGCAAACCTTAATTGACAGCAAATTTTAACTAGGCTTTTGTAGGACAATTCTAGCATCCTCGGTTCCAGTGTAATTAGGGTAATTCAGGCAATTTCTTCATGTGTTGCTTTGTAGGACAATCCAGCTAACTGCATTGCCTTCATCAGTTAGTTTAAAAAAGTCGTATTTTTTTCTGTGTTCATTTGTGGATGTCAGTGTGAATAACACTCACATGGAATTAATCTCAATCTGCCTAGATGTACACTTGCTTTTCTCACTGTTTGATTGGCAGACTGAATTTCAGCAGCTCTGCTAACCTCGCATGTTCCCTGCCTGTTATTCCCAAAGAGCTTCAAAGCACTGTCTCCTAGTGCAGGCACTTAAGTCTCTCATCAGTAATCTTGCTCTGCTTTTTTCAGTGTTCCTATACCCTTTCTGGCATGACTTTAATAGACACGAGTGCCAAAAAGATGGGAGAGAGTCTGTACCTGCGTGCACAGAGCTGGGTCTAAGTGAAATAGAAGTGCTGGTCGCTGACAGAGGACAAAACCCTCGTTAGGGAATGAAAAGCCTTCGTTTTCTCTCCCTCCACATTTCCAATCTCTCCTATTCATCTCCAGCAGTTTCCTCGTAGGCTTATCGCGTGCTTCAAATAGAACTCCAGACAAAACAGAAAAATTGGGCTTTCAAATTAAAGTTCCGTTCTACCAGCAGCATTACTCAGGCAATCAGCCCAGGTCTTGTTAACCCTGAGAGTGCAACGTACTTTTACATCACTGCAGCACCTCTGAGCTGTTTCTTTCATGGCTCAGATACAAGCATGCCTTGTCCTGTACATTAAGCTCCCAGTTCTTTCCTCACCCCTTCCTTCAACTGAACATATGACATAGACCCTCTCACCCCCAACCTCACAGTGTATAAAATGCTTTCAAACTACAGATTACTTCAGAGGATGATTACGTATTTGCTTGAAACACCAGCCACTGTTCAAAGAAGATATGACCAGACTACCTACCGCTCGCTTTTCTGACATTTCTGCATTTATAAAATGTTTTTCTACTGCAGGTATTTTCCTCTGCTCCATAAACAGTTTTATGAAATACTGTGAAAAGATACATTTCTGAGGGAAATGCCACTAAGCTTTCATAATGTAACTATAATTTCCTTTTTCTGGATCTGCTCTGCTAATTCAGTGTAATGAAAGCCTGTCCATTTTGTGCAGAAACCAAAAAGCCTATTGTGCTTCTGGGCACTTCTCTACAAACATGGGTTTTGACAACAGCAGCCCAGGGTGCAGCAGGCTTTGCATGTCTGAAAGGCCTGAAACATTCTTGTGTTGAGAAAAAGTGCTTGAACCTACCTAGTACTTCTCCAAACAATTCCTCAATCAGAATGACTGAGCTGCCTCATCCCAGAGTCAGAACCAATCCATTCAGCAAAACATGGAAGAAGTCAAACCTACCACAGTCACCAACTGGAACAGAATGAATACATCACAGAAGACAGCAGCAGAAGTGCAAGTAGGTGAAACATCCCTACTTTCTTCTGCATGTCTACAGACAACATTTTTTTTTTCTCCAAGTTGCTCTTAATCTGTGTGTTGGTGGTGCAAGGTCTTCTACTATGCTGGGACATCCAATCAAAAGGGATTCAGCAGTCAACTGGCTGAGCACTGAAACACCAGCATTGTTTCTGCTCCCACCAGTGCCAAATGGACAGGTTACAGTGAGAGCACCACTTTCCGTAACTTTGACACTTACTAAAGTCTGCTGGTGACCACCAGGGCTAAAACTAGAATCTGTCAGCAGAAGCAGCTCAGATGCCTTTCTCCTCCATGCATTCTCCTGTGCCAGCTATAGGAGACGCAGAAGGAGTTTGTCACTGGAAACCAAGTCCAGCTCTCATAGAATGGTAAGAGGTGGATGCTGCTGACCTCACAGGAAGCAGTGTCAGGAGTTCTGAGCAGCTTTGCTGTTTTCCAGAATAAGAAACATAACATTCAAAATCACAGGATTGGGTACAGGAAGAGGGAAATGGGTGCATAGAAAGAATGGCATTTAATCTATTGAATATTTTTCCCCCAAGAGTTGCTGTAAGATCAGTTCTTAAAAAAATAAGTTTCACTGAAGGAAAGGTTACTCTTAGGAAATTTTGTAGTAAGAATATTTTTATTTTACCAAACTTGGCATTATAAGCAGTAATTACCCATGCAGGTTTAGATGAAGATGCAATCTGAGCAAAATGGACAATTTTATAAATATTTTAAATCAGAATCCAATTTTACTCCAAGTTAAGCCCTTCCTGTAAGACAGATTAGTCATCAAAAGAAAAGAGCAATGTGTCAGCTGGGGACTCCCACAAACTCAGCTTTTTGGAAACTCAAGCAATGCGTTCCTTGTGCCTCTGTTATGGCTGCAATGACCCCCGCCTGGTAACACACAGAATGCTCCTGGCTGCACTGAGCTACCTGCTGTGTGATCTGCTGATGGAAGAAAGCTGTGACAAAGGTTTTTTCCAATGCATGGTAACATTTGTTAAACGGTGGAAATTTCTGTATGGGACTTCTCTCCCCATCCTTTTTGAACTAAATTGTCACAAAGCTTTTTTTACTTTTTTGGCACATTAAAGCAAATCCGTTTCTGTCAAGTAATGCGTTATAGAAGAGACCATTTTGTGCCAAAGATGGAACCAAATGAAAAATTATAAAACACGTAATTCCTCTGAAAATTTCCTAACTTTGCAGCTGGAGCTGCACCCATTTACACAGCAGAGCTACAGTGAGTGTTACAAAAATAACGCAAGAGAAGCTACTGCTAGCTATTAATGGCTGTATAGTTTGCCCCAACACCAAAAGGCTGCATTAGGTACTGCTGGAGATCCTGAGATGTTGCTGACTATTATGGCCAGAGAGTGATTTTCCATTACAAGTCACTTCTTAGTGCTCTCCTTTGTTCCTGAGCTATCCTGCGAAGATCAGTTAAGGGCTGAAGTTTCCACTCACATTCCACTGAAGGGAAATGCTCTTCTTGTAAAAATCAATTCTGGAGCATGCAGCTGCCCATCCACAGCTGCTGAAATTATTCTCCCCAGTGTATTTTTTTCAGTCATTAATTTACTCAGACCCACAAGGCTGCAGACAAGTTAGTGCTTCCTGCAGGGAAGTTGGTTCATCCTGCAGGAAAGCAACCTCAGCTACAGAGGCAGTCACTGAGTAACCCTGGTGTTATCATGTAACAGCTGCTTCAGTTTCTTCCTCAACAAAATTAGTTTAATAGCATAGTAAAACAAGACTGGATTTCCTCACAGTGCATGGACCTGCAGTGGTCAACCAGCTGCATCCACTCTTCCCCCTATTCATAAGTTCTAGCTCATCTTCACTGTGTTCAATATCTGTACAGGATGCCTATTCTTTACTTGCCATCTGTAGCAACTGGACAGATCAATATGATGGGAAAGGTGCTATAATACAGGTGTGATGACAGAAGGACCAGCATGATAGAAAGGCGCTATAAAGGAAGGGAAGAAGATTCCAGGTTCACAGGGGAAAGCTTCACCAAGGAGGGATCTCCAACCAGAGACCCTTCTCCAGTGCCAGTCAGCCCTCAAATGAGGTCTAAGAGAGGTGCAGCCAGCTCCACCCCTTCTGGTCACACAGCTGAATCACCTTCACCTGTGCTCCCAGGGCTGACAGGGTCCTTTCCTAGGTGCTCAATCAGTGGTTCAGGCCAGGACTCAGCAGTTTCCATACACCACTGCACATACGTGGGGAATTTACAGCTCTTGACAATTTTTTTCTTTTGGCTTCAAGTTACCAGAAGGAACCAGCTAGGCCTGGAGCAGCTGGTAAGAGCCAGTTTGCAAAGTTCACGTGTAATAAGGATGTACACAGAAATTCTATCTTAAGTGCTATGGTAGATGTATACCTAAATAGATGTGTTTTGCTTCTGAGCAACAGTACTGAGATTGTAGAGGGATTTCAGTGAACTTTTTTTCTAGTGCTTGCAGTTGATATTATGGTAAATATATATATAAACCTGAAAATCTGAAACAACTGTAGCATCACTGCAGCTGAGATTGAATAAGTGACAGCTTCTTATTTTCAAATGCCATTACTATCATAGCAATAGAACATGAACCCTGCCATGCTGCTTGTGTTTAACATTCTGTCCCTTCCTAGTACTGAAGGGCTCCATCATTTCTCACCTGTACCAACTCCAGTATCATTGTATTTCTACTATCTGCAGTTTATTTCTCAGTTTAGCTCAGGCTTGTCACCAGGGAGCAGCAGCAACATCCAAAGATGACATCCAGAGCTCAGCTCATTTCCCTGAGACACCCTCACCTTGCAAGCTCTTCTCCTTCACCACATGTTCACTACTGAATGGGGCTTCATGCCCCATGGTTCTAGCCCAGAAGCCTCGCATTTAGCCACAGAGAGCAGTTGTTAGGCCTTCCAAGTGTGCTGTTCCATCTGAGCCCTGCCAAACCTCTCCAGAGCAACCCTGCTGGCTGCACTACTGCCAGCATTCTGTTGAACTGTAGCTTTTCATGCAGTGCTTTCTTGCTGGATATTTACTTACTGCTGAGGAAGATAAACAGGTCTTTAATTAAGGTCTTCTGAGCTGCTGTCATTTGGAATATTTCTGATGAAATGACTATTGCTTGCTATCACAAACTGTGCAAACAAATCCAAAGTTAGTTTGAAGCAGTGGAGCTCCAGCATATTAACAGGAGATGGTAACAATGCTGCTAGACCTGCAGCTGGTCAGCTTTGATATCAGTCAGTTTTTATAGTTCATTCCAGAGATATGTTACGCACTGCTCATCAACAACTGTGCTGGATCATAATTTAGAAGTGTCTGCCAAACTCACAGTCTGGATACACGCTGCAGATGTCACTCTTGCAGACATCTGGTCACAGCTTTGGCTACTAAGTGTAAAACTATATGAAGAAGCATTGAGCAATTTAAGTATTTTCAGCCCATAGAAGTGGAGTGGTTTTTAAATGTTTGCCTGTTTTACAGTATTGGATCTTTTTAGCTCTACCACCAGGGAACTCCAGTGCTCGTGAGAAATAGAAGTGGGAAAATGAATGCTGCTATACAGAAAGTGTACAGGCCTTTTTCTTCTGCAAAATGCTTGGTTTCCCCCACCCTCCACTACCAATTTTATCAAAATGAAGCCTTACACAATACACAACCTGTGTATTTCAACATAACCTAAAAAAACAACAAAATGTTTTACCTTAAAATTTATGTTTAAACTTTTCTCACAGATGATTACTGAAGGCAGGAATACAGTAAAGATGTTTTAAGTCATGTCCTTCTATAAACTAATTCCCTCCCTCTAATCAAGCAATATAATAGTATAATATCATATGCCAGATGACATGAATTCAAATTCCTAAGTGGTTTCCATGGCAGCATTTTAGAATAAGTTTCACAGGCAGTTACAGACAGCATAGAAGAAGCATAAATGAGTATTAGGTACTGAACTGGAATACTGGAGGTGATGCAAGTGCTGTTTAACCAGATGCAGCCCGTAAACATTTGATTTTTTAAAAAGCTGCAAGTGATTCATGGGGTTTGTGGGTTTCAACCGAGATATCCCTAAAACTTATTTTTGCTGCAGAGGGAAAAAAAAAAAAAAAAAAAAAAAAATCAGAGTTGTTCTGCCACTGCATGCAGTTGTCACAGATCATTAATGTACTTTATGACTCTCCCCAGGATAATACTATGACATGGATTCGTTCTCCCTTTGGCTCAAAAGAAAGTGCTCTGAATAGTCTTATCTTCCTCACTGCACTTGTCCTAGCTGAGGTTACAGTCCTAGCTGCTGTAGTTGAAATCACAGCACAGACAGGAAGTCAAAGGAACACCATTAGTGCTACTGTCCTCAGCTTTGATGGCAGCAGCCGTGATTGGTGAGGGACAGATGGGAAATGACGAAGCACAGGCCCAGTGGCAAGCCTGCTTTTGTGGCTCAACATCCAGCAAGGCCAGCTCTGAGGACTGAGTTGCACCATTCTTACTCTTTTCTTGATAACTGCATCAAATTTTATCCATTAGAGAACTTTTCACCTGAGATTTTTCCTTTTCTCCATTTCTCAGGTCCAAGAAATGTCCAAACAACAACAAATAACAATCAAAACTACCGGAACACTCCTTACATAAAAAAATATTTGCTAGGTTTGATCATCCTTTCCCTCAAAGTATTTTGTTAGCTCATCGGGAATATTTGAGAAGGTTCTTCAACCATTCAGAGCTGAACTACTTACTATGTCTTTGACACATTACAAGACACTGCAAGGCTTCCAAGGTGACTGAAATGGCAGCTTTGTTCTAGAACTGAACAAAGATGCATTGTTTTTGTTTTTAGTAGCCTAAGAACAGATTCCCTTTTAATTTACACCATTCTTCAACTTGCTTCAGTGACTTTACAGTAGCACAGATGAGGAGAAAGAGGAATAAGTTATTTAAATTGATTGTTTTCTCCAAGAAAGAGAAAAACCAAAGATTGATTTGGAGAATTTTCTTCTTCATAAAGAAGGTAGCAAGGAACTAATATCTTTAATAACAATGAATCCTTACTCAATTAACCAAGTAAAATTGGTGTTGCAGTATTCAAGTATCATTCACAAGTCAGAGCTCTAAAGAAACAAACTGAACTTACTGAAAGAACAAAGCACAGAAGCAACACGTTTAACCCATGAGTGCATCTTATCTTTGTTCTTATATTGAAGATAAGCTGGATCCTTAACTAGTTTATATAGCAGTGGTATATCTCCACTTGAGCAGGGAGTTACAGTTACTTAAAAGGAAATAAATTGATGATCAGCCCATACACAAACTCTAATCTCTTAACTGACTCATCTTCCTTAGGAACTAGCTGATGTTCTATTGCTCCTCTGGGAAATTAAGTGGGGCATTGAAGCCCAAAGCCATTCAGAAAACAGAACATAAGTTTTCCATTCTGAGTAACTCTGCTCTTTACTCTGCTCAAACCCTAGGAAGAAACAAGAAGATACCAGAAGCTGATGCATTCGTGTTTTTGTTACTATTCTAGAAAAGGTTGTGTTGAATATTGTAGATAGACTGTGTGAGAAAGAACAGTGAAACAAAGATGGTTTATTGCAGAGAAAACAGCACAATACAGAAAAAAATACACAACAACCCTCTGTTTACACAGCTATTAAGACATTACAGGGGTCAATAAGGACTAATGTAAAAAATTTAATACGAGAGGAAGCAACCAGCGTAGGATAATGTACTTAGTGAAGCTGCTGTAGAAAACAACGACAGACATAGAATTAGAGCTGGATGGGAAAATGTACCTGCACTTGTTCAGCTACAGCAAAGGAAAAGGTCAACTATTTGGTAGATCAGTTTGGCAGAGGATATAGGACAGACAGAAAGCATTTAACCAAAGTGCTTGGTAGATTCCATCACCCAAACAGAACGATATCTCTTACTATGATATGTATGATTCAGACAGCCAGAACTACTAAAGGTTGCGAGTGACTACCAGATACCCAGCACACTACCTGCTTTCCAGCTGGGCTTAATATCTGAGAAGTGTCTTATTGCTTAAACACATCTGCGTTGACATACCTTTTACCATCACAGTCTCTGAATCACAGGCCATGGAGGGCTCACCCCATGACGCCTTTTCCTCCATACCACATCCTGCCTATTTAAACTGAAAGCCACAGAGTTAGTTCAGCTTCTTGTTTTTAATGCACAGAATAAGGCTTTGATGCTGACTGTGGGATCTGCACTCAATTATTACTGCATCAAGTGACACGATAGTAAAATATTAAAATACTAACACTCTCCATTTTTTCTTCAGACATGCATGGGACATTTGTCATCCTGATGCCTCTGAGCCTGATACTGATGGTTTTTGGAGGAATGACTGGATTTATCAGTATTCTTGCCAGGGCATATCTACTGCTTCTAATGACTGGTCTGCTTTTTCTTTTTGGAGGTACTATATCAAACTCCTGGCTTAATGGATGTAAATAATAAGAGATTATATCTGGAAAACATTACTTTACCTTCTGGAGAAAAATGTTGAGCAAGACTGCTTTCAGAATAACACAGCTGTTCATTCATTTTGTGAATATTCCATCACGACCTGACAGTTTGTTTTCCTCTCGTCCTTCCCCAAAAAACAATTTTGACTTGATTTTAGAAGTAGGGGAAGCTTTAATGGTAATCTACCCTGAGTAAATAAGAAGGAATGGCAAGGATGCCCAGAGAGTTATGTGAGTTATGTGAGAGTTCTGTAGCAAACTGTAACTGACCGAACATGTTTTTCTTACCCAGCTCTGGTTACACTTACTGGGATTGGTGTCTACCTTGCATATTCAGCTGCTGCCTTTGAAGAAGCTGTCTGCCTCCTGAGGAGTAAGGATGTCCTGGTAGAAATTGACATCAGGTTTGGCTGGTCTCTGGCACTGGTCTGGATCTCTTTTGTTGCAGAAGTGATCACTGGGGCTGTGTTTCTCCTGGCAGCAAGACTTGTTGGCCTGAAACGGCAGCGTGAACAGGAGTTATGAACAGCAGGTATCATTGCAACAACAGAAAACTCTGAAATGTGGATTCCTTGGTCTGTCTGGTCACTAGGGAGAATAAAAGTGGCAAGACTGTGACTGAGTAACTTGCCAGCTGCCATAAACTCTTCTCCTCACTACTGTCTACAAAATACAAAGATTCTGATAAATCAGTAACACATTTCCAGTGTTGTCAATAAGGAAACCTTTGTGACTTCAGAAGAAATTATGTAGCACTATCAATGTTTCTGAAACAATTTCAGCTGGCAGCTCATGCAGCATCAATACACATTATTTAGAATTTTTTTGCTTTATCTTCTTTCTGCTATCCCTGGCTACCCTGCAGGACAGTTTGCATGTCCACTTAGCTTTTGGTTTCCCTTCAGATACTCCTGATATGTACGCTAGGATTCCAGTCACGTTGTCAGCCTCTTCCACATGTGATATATGATGCTTATATACCTGAAGCCAGGTACTGAGTGTGGAGACTACATGTATTCAATTAATATTGCACATTTAATGTGGCTTTGTTGTTCAAAGTAAAATCAAATGTAAAGGTCCAGAATAAGAACTTCAAAGTATTTGGAGAAATCTAGTGATCATCTCCAGCACTAGGGCATGGCTAGGACATCCAATCCATGTGCACCTTCCACATTTATAGGATCCTTCTTTTTCCTAGTGCCTCCCTGAGGAGGCTATTCTCTCTCTTCTACCACTATCACTATTTCTTTGTGACAACACACAAAAAGGTGAGTTTGAGAGACTGGAGAGCCCCAGAAGCCTACTTTATGCCAGCTATGTGTGTTGGCTAAGGAAAAACACAGCTTCATGTTATTTATTCAAAAATTACTTAAAGGCTGAAAACAAAGAAATAAGTCATTTTCTAAAACTGAGCTTTGGTGCTGTAAAAAGTAATTTAAAAAAAATGAAGGCCTAGAAACTGTGACTTAACACTAGTTATCCTCCAGACAGCATTGACTGTGGCTGTGAAGCTCTTAAGGGCAGTGAAATGATGAGTGTTCTATTTCAAGAGAAAGTTACAGCTGCTTCTCTGGATGTTTTAACAAAAGACTGCAGCCAGCCCACATCTATCTGATGCTCAGGCTACTTACCCATCTCTTCCAGCTTTTTAATCAGTTGTTTCTTCAATTCTATAATGCAGAAGATGCATCTAATACATTTCCCAGTTTTTACTTTGCAAACCTGATGCTTTTATTTCATAAAAACAATAACGTTTTTGTGCTAGAATGTGTTGAATTTGTGCTGGAAGCTTCTGAGTAAAACCAAGCACACAGGATGCCTGAACTTCATCTTAAGAACTAAGCAATCTAGATTTTCTTTATTGTTTTTTCATGTTGGTAATAACATTTAAGAGAAAATTTACTTCAGTGCCCACTGCAGTTAGTGAAGAAGTTTTTTCTGATTGCTGTGGCCCAGGGTAAAGACCTGAATGTACTCTCAGCTCCACTACAGATCCAGATCATGGTCAACTTCTGCATCTTATGGTTCAAGACTGTGACTCAGGAACGGCACCAGCTGGGCACACTTTCAGTGAGCAAGTTCCTTGTGCTTCCTTCAGGAGAGAAAGGGCATCACTTACCTACTTCTGTTCAACACTGGGACAATTTTATCATTGTCTTTTGTTAAAAATTGTGCCTTTGTGCTCTGATCCTAGTTCCACAGTACCAAGTTTCTTATGGAAAACGATGGCAGAGAGCTTGCAGTCTTTGAATATAAAAGAAAATGTTACTACCATGCTCTGAATGGAGAACTGAGGCAGAAAAACTGCCAAAGTCCAATGAAACCAGAGCTTCTGATTCCCAATCTAAAATCTTGGTTGTCAGATCTTTCTTATTATCAGAATGAAACAAGGTTAGAAATCCCAAACAGGCCGAGCAGCAGAAGCTCTGTTAATAGCCAGCACCATTTCTACTTCCCCATTTCTTCCACACTGGTTGTCACACATTTTCCATGACGCCTTGTGCTGGGACTGTGTAATGGAGTCATTTTACAAGTTAAAGCTGACTAAAGCAGCTCTATAAGAAGATTAAAGAAAAATCCTTTATAGTGAATATTCCACATGTTTAAATGAATTATGTAAGATGTAATACTTCAGTGTTTTGGTGCTGGTGAAGTTATTTAATATAATATGACCCGTGTAACATTAGTCACACATTACTGTAAGTCATAATAGTAACCTATCATCCAAGTTATTAGTGAATGTTTATCACAGATGTTGTTTTACAGTGCTTTTGAACTGTGTAGAACTAAATAAAATGACACATCTGAGCTAGGAGATATTCGAAAAGGCACTTCTTAATGGAAGAACTAAGAAATAACTTTTAACTCCTTCTGCAGATCTATTTGACAGTTTACAAGATGCTTTTGATGTACCTGTGTTGCACATGGTAGATATTTATAAAATACTTACGCAGCTACAATGTACAATTCAACCTAATTAGAAAGCCAACAAATATGTTATTGAATTAAAGCAATTCTCATTTCCATGGCTTTCCTAGATTTCTCATTCTGTCTTCCTGCAATATCTGGCACAATGGCAATAAAGAGTATCTTCTGCTCCTGAATATTTCTTCAGTCCCTGAATTTCTCTGAAATCCCATCTGAATAGAAATAAAAGTATTGTTTTGAATAGTCAAATAAGCCTTAAACAAATTTAATTATGCTTGAAAGATAAAGCATTTCGGAAAGGACTGTATGTAATTCAATACAAGTGATCTCATCAAACTTATACTTAGAATGAAACTGATGCTTGGTACACAGTTCTTTGCTTATTTTCCCAGAATTCATTACTGAGATGAGGAGACTGACTGCTTCCAGCATTGCAGAACTACTCACAGGTAGTTGGAGATATTTAAAGTGAAGAAAAATAAACATACTGAGCAAAGTAGATCGGTAGTTTGAAGCAGTAGAGCGTACACAGCTACTGGCCAATACTAGCTTCTAATTTGAAGGGTAGCTCAAGAGATGGTAGAGAAGATCAGGAGAAGTGATAGAAATCCTTGGAGGTAGGAAAATTTCACGTATTCAAGAGCTTTAGAGAAGACATTGGTGAAACTAATACAGACATACAACCACAGCCTGGGTCTGTTCCCGAGCTGGATGCTGCAGGGCATCTTGGATGTCTCTGTACCTGCTTCCATGACTTCCAAAGAGAGAATAGCAGCTGAGACACAGCTTCAGTTCAAATCTGCTCCATCTGTTGATCATCAATCCAAAGCCTACAGTTCCAACTGACTATGTGTTATTGTAGCAACTGGACAGATCAATATGATGGGAAAGGCATTACAACAAAGGTGTGATGACAGAAGGACTGGCATGACAGAAAGGTGCTGTAAGGAAAAGGAAGAAGATTGCTCACCTATATCAGAAGATTCCAGGTTTACAGGGAAAAGCTTCACCAAGGAGGGACCTCCAGAAAAAGATCTTTCCCTAGGGGCAATCAGCCCTTAAATAAGATCTAAGAGAGGTGCAGCCAGGCTCCACTCCTTCCAGTCACACAGCTGAATTGCCTTCACCTGTGCTCCCAGGGCTGACCAGCTCCTTTCCCCAGGTGCTCAATGAGTGGTTCAGGCCGTGGCTCAACAGTTCCCATACAATTACATTACAAATAATTCATAATCTTTTTCTAAATCATGAGCCATGGCAGGCTGAAGACCTAGCAGGACACTCTCTGTCCATGCCCTCCTGGTCAGCAAAACCAGAATCTGCCCAGAAGCCCTCCCTGAGGTGACCACAGCAAGGCATGCAGTGCCTGCCCACCTCCCTAGACCCAGGACACAGACTGCTTTCTGTAGCTGCGAAGTACATATTTATTCCTACTACCAGTCAAGGTTGACTGAAGTTGTTAAGGAAAGCTGGCCCATGAAATCCCAAAGACACTGACTGTTCAAATCTTGATTGGCATCTTGGGTTCTCAAGTAATCTTGGCCTCCAAATGACCTTCTTTTGCACTGCTCTACAAATGAAAACCAATGGTCTCAACTTATTAAAACTGAAAAACTCACTGAAGACATAGGAGCCTACCTCAGAAATCTAATTTCCTTTTCTTTGCTTCAGTTTGCAAACTTCTCAGAGTGAACCAGCTTGTAGTTTGCCAAGATTTATTAGTAAAAAATGCATGTTTCTTGGAAGACAACTCATCATTTTCATATTAACAGCCTGTACTGCCCCGGCTCTTGGCCAGAAAGGTCAGACTGAATGCTCTGGCTTTGTGCTGGAGAATCAAACCCTCCCTAGAATTAGTACAACCATGCTCAGGAGAGTGTCCCCTTTGCCTTAGCACCCCAGTCTGCTGGTGTGTGCAGCTTTATGGCTCAGCAGATGCAAGCTCCACAGAGCTCGAATGCTCTGACTGAAGATTTTCTGTATTTCAGAACAGTGGTCTCTGCTGACATCTTGTGACAACACTGAGCAGTTGACTGAATTCGGAAATAAAGAATTAATTTCCATACATAATACTCCTTGTATAGTTTGTAGAGCAGAGGGGACCATGCTCACCGGGCCATAGCTCCTGTACCACACAGCCCACAGAATTTCACCTAGAAACTGCTGCTCCCAAGTCAGCAGCTCGCTGCCTTAGGATGCACATCCCAGCTGATGGTCATCTGAAGTTAAAATGTCAGTCAGTGATAGGAAATGCGCTGTTAACATTCCTGGTTAAAAAAAAAATAAAATAAAATCTCTAAACATATTAATGGCTTTTACTCCTAGATGAAAGATGCTACAGCTGTTCCCCAGATACATTTTGTTTAGATGCAGCAGTATTGGTTTTAGACATTAGCTGTCATGCAGGGTCAACTTTATAGACTTTTATGTTGGATGAATGCTATTTTTGGCTAGTTCCTCCATGAACAGCAGTTGGTTAACAGTCTACAGATAAGTGGAATCAGGTATTCAAGGGAAGGGAAGTGAAATGCAATGTCATGCCCTACTGTAACTAAAGCAGCACTGGCAGATTGAAATTTCTGGTGATTTGTAGCCTAGTTTCTCAAGCTATCATCTAAGAAAAAACATGCATGTGGTCTTAAAGGAACCTTTCAGGTTCCATTGCCACTGAGCACAAGACACTGAAATTACTACATGTAAAACTCATAAAAGAATTATCATCAGTTAATGAGATCCTGTTCATCTGCCAAGTTGTCACAACTGCGTGTATTTATACTCTCAAGTCATCTCTTAACACTCCTGAGAATCAAAATGCATTCCTTCAGCACACCACCTCTGCAGCCTTGTCCTATACCTACAGTGGTTTATATTAATGGATTTAATCCAGAGTTAATAACCAGCGAAGAGTTAAGAAATGGAGTCATAGTTCTTTTGGGAGTCTGCCTATACTGCTCACTGCAAAGCAAGCTGGAAGACTCCGTGCATGGGTTTGGAGGGATAACAAGCAGTTCTCTGAAGAGCTTTTGGCTCGTTGTTTTACAGCTTTCATTTTTGCCAAGGATAAGGCAAATACTTGTCATGGAAGGCTGGGACACTCCCGCTGTATTGCTCCCTAGGTGCTGAAGTGTATTTGTCTACCAATAGCTGAACAGCATTTACTGTTGGCTTATGCTTCTGGACAACACATCTGGCTGCTGGAGCAGCTAGCATATTTCTCCATCCAACCTGGCCTCCTCAAATATTCATAAGTTAATGTTGTCTGTAATGCCTGCAGCATACAGAGAGACTGAATTGAATTGCACTGTGGAGGAGTCTCTTCCACAGCCTTTCAGAGCTGGCTGCATCAGCACCGTGAAAACCCTTTGGCATCATAAACCTTTTATTGCCACAGCTCCCACTTGACTAGTATTATACAGTGAAGCATTTAATTATGCAAGAAACACATAAAAAATAATTTTATAACTGTCAGGCAAAAATCCATAGAAGCAACAAACTTTGGAGGACTTGTAATAACAACTACCTGCCTTTCCATTTAGGAATCACAGCACATTACAGGCATGGCAACAGCTGTAGCCAACTGACTTCAATGCTCTAACTCCTTCCTGCCCATGGCAAACACCCCATACAACACGACCTTGATTTGGTCCAGGGTACATCTGAGAAAATGGTACATTTCTGCATAAGAAGGAACTGAGAGGTCCAGGCCTATCTCAGTCAGCAAAGAAACAAAAATTAGTTTAATACAATGTGCAGCATAAATATTTTCCTTCTCAAAACTCAGGAATAGTGCAATATTTCATGAGAACAAAAGAAGAAAGAAGTAGTTGTCTCTCAGTTAACAGAAATCAAAATGTTCACAAGCCTTTCTTTTAGATACAGACTTCACCTACAGGATCACCTCATGCTCAACTACTTACCATTTAGACTACTACTGGAATTTATGCAAAAATCCAAGAGATGGGACTTATAATTGGGAGCTCCATTTTGCTGAACTAACTGCAATTTTAAAAAGAGAAGCTCTACTAGCATCATTCAGCCCCCGATCAGGTGTGCATGTCAGTCTGGAGGCACCCAGCAACAAGAGGGAGCTGGACTGTCTGCCACTGACCTGCAGGTATTGGTGACATAACCAATAGAAGGACCACCACCACCACCAACCTTACTGTATATGACACTGTTCCGTGTGATTTCTGTGGCTTGCTACAGATGAACCCAATAGTTATTAACTGGTGCTAATAACCCAGCTGAATAGTAACAGCTTTTTTGAATGGGCTGACCAACAAAAACAGGCACTGCACAATGTCTTCACTGTCTTACTACAGGGAACACTTGTTTGTAACATGAGTGTGTAAAGATGCTACTGCTTCTTAGAAGTGGGATTTGTTATTGCCCTCAGCAGTGGTTAGCCAGGAGGCTGCTAAATCAACAGTGTGAGAAAAGAAGCCTATTTCCAGGACACATAACCATCAGAAAAATGAAGCACCTGCTCCAAAGCCCCTCCAGAGCACCAATCTGCCCTTCAGAGTCTACCTTGGGCTCACTTGTCTGCTCTTCTCTTTGCCAGAAGTCCTTTTCTCCTTTCTGGCAGCAACAGCCGTGTAGCAGATCCCAGGCAAAGCTCTGTCACCATAACAACTGGGTAGCTGTCCTATAATTCAAACTGCCCTCTCCAACTTCAAGGGCCTCTTCCTACACAGCCTAGAGCTCATCAATCCTTCCCTGAGCAATATTTCATTGGTGCAGCAACTCCCACAGCCACTCTTTCTAAAGCTGCTTCTCTGCCATTTTATTTCCAAAAAGCCTGAAGAACCACGCACTCGCCCATTGGGAAGAGAGCTGAATTTGGCACAGGTGAGCCTCAGGTTTCCAGAGACCAGCTAATCTTCTGACTATCCCCACTGCCTTGGGTTTGCCTGTACAAATGGTTGGCCAAAGGAGTTCAGAAAATAATCCAACAGAGAGTGAGCCACTCACACAAAATCCCTTTGTAACCCCTAATCCCTTTGGAATGTAGAGAACACGAACAGAAAGGAAACTCTGGAGGCTTTTAGAAAGCAGCACGTACCTCCAAAATGGCAACTGCATCCCCCAAAATCTTGCTCAGCCGCAAATTAATTCCATGACCTCTGGCTGCCTGAGAGCCCGTCTGTACTGCAGCTTATCTAATGGCAGTGCTCCCACCTGACTGTATCAAGCTGAACA